TCAATCAAAATGGCATTTAATCTATAATTTGGAGAGGACAGGCATCATTTCTATCCTTCAATGATTATCTCTACAAAAAATCTGGCATATCTTTTGTTAGATTTGTTCCTAGGTGCCTGGTGGCTTTTGTTGCATTTTAAATTGGTATTTATTTTAAATTGACATATTCTAGTTTGTCACAGGTATATATAAATGCTATTGATTTGGGTATATTGATCTTACTGAGCCCTTATCAATTTTAATAGTGTACACAGTAGACGGTACCAGGTTTCCCCAGACATAGAAGAAACCACACCTCCCAGGTGCCCTGCAGCCGGAGAACATGTGACCAGGTGTGGCCAATGAAATGGGAGTTGAAATGATGCCACCACAAATAGGCTGAGCCAGTGGAAATCTGCATAAATTTTTGGTCTCTCCCTTCTTCTGCTGAGACAGATGTGGATGCCCAGTGTTGAGGTGGCAGAGCCTGAGTCGGTGAATGACCAAGTGGCTCGAAACCTCAACAGACTGGCTGTTGCGGTAAGTCACTGACACCTCAGGGTTTATTGTTTCCTCCGTGTAACTCAGCCTCTACTGACGGACAGTTTGCCTTTTGATTCCCTTGGATTTTTGCATGTGGACCATTGTAGCAGCTGTGAAGAGCAACAGTTCTGTTTCTTCCTTTCCAGTGCTTAGGTAATTAAAATTGTATGAATATCAAACTTAACAATTAATGAAGTTCACACAATGTTACATTTTGTAGATCTTTAATTAAACATTTATTAATTATGATTTGCAGTTTTCCTTTGTGTTCTTTCAGGTCTTGGATATTTGTGTAGGCTCTTAAAAAGCTGGTAGGCCCCAGGCCCTATGTATGTAAGAGTACCCAAGGGTTAACAAGGCCCCAGTTAGGCTGGTTGTCATTTTTACAATTCTACCAGTCTAGAAGGAATGGGATCACGTAACACGGGCACAGAGAGCCCTGGCTTAGGTGAGTCAATGGGGCTTAGACCAAAACCAACAAAAGCACTGTGCATATCCCAGCCGATTGGTGTTGGAACGTCTCCCTCTTCCCAGTCCATCCTTTCCTTTAGGAGGAGATTCAGAGTTATTCACTCTCTCCTTCTCTTAACTGCTAGAAGTTACTAAAGGCCCTGAATGTCTTATTATTATCATTTTAACACTGTAGGTATGGTTTAGTTAAAAAAAATCCCAAATAATAAAACCTGACCTTATCAAAGAATATATGAATTGGAGGATGGTAATTTGCTTTACAAAGGGTTCCTTGCTCCACAAAATGAATTCAACTTTGGTGCCCCTAAAATAGCCAGTTCCCTTGGTGCATGTTAAATATAATTCAATTTACAAAAATTTCGATTTGCATATAACCTTTTCAGTAGCACATCCATTGTGCAAAGCAATGTACACTTGTAATTGGCTGCAAATTGCCAGGAGACCACCCTTGTACATACTGTTCTTAGATGTGCAATTTTTTCTTAATCTCCATGGGATAGAAGAGCAGAGTGGCTAACGTTCCAGTTGCTCATCCGATCCCAGTGGCTATGCTGACAAAGGACATTTGTGGATTATTTTGGGGCAATATATTGTATGTACAAATTAATGTTGTGTATTTAGAAACAGGAAATGAGGAGCGGTCAGGTGGACTGAACAAGCATTGCCTGGCTGAGTTCATGACAACCGGCTATGTTGGAGAAGCTCTCTGTATCTTGGTGGCCTGACAGGCATCAGGAGAAAGTGAAATGAAGCAAAGGACAAGTTATGATCATGGTGTGGATATCATGTTTTCCCCATGAGGCAGCGAACCTGCAGGAGCATCATCCCAGGAAAATAATAGAACTAACACAGTGACGTTAGCCGTGTGGATAAGGGGAGTGCCACAGCCGATCCAGCCAGCTACCCCGGGGGCTTTCTCTCTGTGTAGTGTATTCTGGTCACAGGAGTGTAGCCAAGGTACTTAGCAAGGCAAGCATGGCATTTCCTCATGTGTCTACGTAAAAAGCAGAAATGGCACCTTTTTATGGCAAATTGAGTTAAAGCAGATTATTGCTGATGATGCCAAGTCACATCTAAACCCCTTTTCAACCTGAATATTAAAAACCCTGCCTGGCACATCACACTCTCTTTTCAGAAATGATCCTTTCCTCACGCATTCCCACTGCCTCCCTTCCCGAGTCTGATGCCAGAGCCTTTCCCTTCTGATTAGAAAGTTCCCACTTAGAAAGTTCCCTGTGGGATTTATTCCCGGTGCTAACCGCTCTCCCTCCCCAGGCTGGCCTGCAGGGTGTGCCAGACACCCCCTCCTGGAGACCTGGGGCTCTTCAGCAGGCTTCTGGGAGATGCACTGAAAAGCTGAATCGACTTCTATCTAGACCTAGTCTTTTGGGTAAGTTTGTGTTTCGTTGCGTTGTTTGCTGGTGGGAATGACTCCATAGCCCCCCATTCAGCTGAGCAGCCTCTCACCCTGCAAGGTGTCTCCCCAGAAGGCAAAGCTTGGCTCTTTCTCGTTCTGGGGTGGGTGATATAAATGGACTACCATAAACTCCTTGGGTGCAGATAAGACGCATACATCAATTAAAAAGTAACAAACAAAAATACTGTGTTGTTTCTTAGAAGCCCCACTTGGAGGTAGCTGATTAAACCCTTTATCACAGCCCTCCAAAAGAGAATTTCCTATGTGGTCAAAATTTCTCTTTGCTGCAGCGGGGTGGGGTCTGCCACCTGCGGTGTGCAGATTGTGTGCTGCACAAGTCCAGGGCATGCCGTTAGCACAGGCCACCTCAACAGTGCCGCTATGGCCAGAGTCAGGCAGGCCACACGCAGCTTGGACTGTTGTACCCTGTAGCACTGGCCCTGGGAAGACTAGAGCTGATGTATGGGCCTGAACTGGAGGAAAAGAGATAGATCTGGGTGTAGACCCACCTGGGTTCATATACTCACTTGGCCATTTACAATCTGTGCCATCCTGGACAATCTACATAGCCTCTAACTAACTGCCCCAGCACAGCAATGTCCAACTCACAGACAGCGAAGATTAAATAAGAGGGTGAGGTGGCAGCGCCTGGCCCATTGTCCTAACGTGAGGTTCCCTCCCTGAGAGTGTTACTGGGAGCTGGGCCTATTCAATAGCCAGGCAGGACAGTTCAGCTTTTGTCCCTTCTTCACCTGCTTTGGGCCTGGAAGCAACGGGCAGAATGAGAAACTAGCAAAGGACCAGGGCCATGGCTTTGTGACCCCCACAGGGTCTGAGTATGAGGTGGCCAAATGTGCTGAACCCACTGGCATGGCCAGGCAACCTGAGCCTCTTTCTATAAAGTTGTTTCCCTGTATATTTTCTATTGACATCAAAGAAAAATCAGCTGATGAGGGGAAATGGCGATGGGCCCGGACACCAGGTGAGTGGAAGGGAGGCTGAGGTGGGAGAGGGGTGTGTTATCCTCCATTTCCAGCAGTGGGGGAAGATTGGCTGGGAATGGACGAACAAGGTATGAGGATGTGAAGTCTCTATTCTACATATGTGGCATTTTCTGTGCCGCTTTCCCTTGTTTGTTTTGTTTCCAGCATTGCGTCCAGTGGGGCCTGCAAGAGGGAAGGGGGCCTTTGAAAGGGGCGGCCCTGTGCCGTGGGGCAGCAGTGGCCAGGTCAAAGCCCTCTCCACAGGTTTTGGAAACTGGAAGGTCAGAGTTTGGCTCCTGGTGGCCTCCCCATAAGAATCTAGACTCCACAATCTTCTGGGTCAAATCTGGGGCATTTTGTTGGGGTGAAGAGGCCTGCTCCCTTCTGCCCACCCAGACTTGATAGCCACAAGGGACGTGTTAGCCTCCAGAGGCCTCCTCCAGCTGGCTCTACCCCGGAGGGAGATGGGATGGAGCCAAGGAGCTGGAAGGGAGTCCTCCGCTTTGCCTGTGGGAGGGAGTGGACTTGGGCCCCCTTTCCTTTCAGGTTCCCTTAAGGTCCTTGAGCCTGAGATCATGACTAGTCCCTCAGTGATTGCACCCCACAAGGAAGGACACCTCCTATGGCCCAGCCCTCAGCCAAGCTTGGAGTCACCAGCACTTGTGTCTTTTTTCCTTGAGAAAGTCACGGCTGTCAGTCCTGACCATGGAATGAACGTAAGACCAAGGGATTTTAGAGGTTGCCCAAAGTAGCTTCTCACCTCGTCCAGCTCCCTCCTCTCTACCTCTTAGCTACGCCAAATTGCTTCTACTGTCCTAGTGTCAATACGTTCTTAGAGCTCAAGAATGTATTGAATGTATTGGTCCCCCCTTCCCCTCTGTCCAGACAGAGTAGGAATGGTGTGAGTCGTGGACCTCTGCTAAGAGGAGGGCCCACTCAGCCAGGGAATGACACCTCCCTGAGCCTGTTTTCTTAAGTAAGAGATTTGAAAAAGATCACTGGCCCACCTGTTTCTCCTTATTGAGCAGTGCAGGTCAGACATGGACATGAAAGCACTTTGCAAACCATAATACACGGCACAGGTGAGAGTGTTATTCTCCTTGGTGCTAAGATGAGGCTGATATGAGGCTGCCCGGGGCCTCATCCTACTTTCTATGGTAAAGGCACCAAACCAGCAGCCCTTGGACTTCCAGGTAAGTTGTATTTATACAGTGTTTTAACATCTCTAAAAGTCAAAATTTGTTGTCAAAGTTTTAGATTAAAAAAAAATGGATTTCTAGCTTCCCTTTAACAATGAGGAGACCTGGCAATACTGGTGACAGTGGCCACCTTGGGCTGTAGCAGCTGCCCCCAGTCACGTGGTCACTAGTTCAGCACAACCCAAGTGTCTCATACCTCATCAGTCTGTCACCTTGCCTGCCTAGCCCTTGTGGGCACCTGAGTTTGCAACCATTGGCCTAAAATGAGGCCTACTAAGGATTTCCCTGAGAAAGTGACCTGTCATTTCTCACTTTATTTTTACTGTGTCCCTCCCCCACCGACCTCCCCGCCCATGGACAGGAGATTGGCCTTTTCTGAAGCAAGTGAGGCAGGATGACCAGGGCTAAGAGGAGCAGCACCAAGGACCTTGTCAGAGGGCACAAGGAAAGCTTGTGGGATTCCTGGGCTTCAACAGCTGTTCCAAGAAGAGTAGATGCTTTTCCCAAGTGGCATCTATTCAAATGTTAAGAGTGGTGTGCTGGTTAGCCATGACTATGTAATCAACCACCTCAAAGCTCAGAGACTTAAAATCATTTGTTAATTTGTCTGACAGTTCCATGGCTCAGCTGAGCTGATCCACTTAGGCTGTCGCATCCTGTCGTGCTGAGATGGCAGCTGGAGTTGGAGACCTCCAAAGGCTCAGCTGGGCTGAAGGTCCAGGATGGCTCCTCCCCAAGGCTGGCAGCTCCTGCTGGCTGTCCCCTGGGAGCTCCGCAGGGCCTATCAGCTGGACCACCTCTGCGTGACATCTCCTGGTGGCCTGGGCTTTTCACTATGTGGCCATTTGGGTTCCCAGGAGGATGTCCCAAGAGTGAGTGTTCCAAGGGACCCAGGAATAAGACACAGGGCTTCTTATGCACAAGCCTCAGAAGTCACACAGCGTCATTTGTGCCATATTTCACGGGTCAACAGCAAGTCACAGAACCTGGCAGAGTAAAGGAAAAGGGGAGTCCACACAGCGCGAGTGACAGGAGATAGGACTCCACGAGGAGGCCGTCTTTGAAAGTAACCATCCAGGCAGCATTGGTGAGGTTGGTCCTTGTATCACGGCTTTCATGTGTTGTTGTTTTTTTTTTTTAGAACAACTCATCTCCTCTCCCTTCAGCTTTCCCCAAGGTAAGATATTAATGAGATCGTATCTGAACTCTCTGACAAAATAATGCCTCCTTATGAAGCATACTATTATTACTAGCCTGCCTGATCGCTCCCACCTGGAGCCCTCAGAACACAGGATGGAAACGATATCTCAACAACAAACAAAACTTCATTAAACCCATTGAAATAACACAGACATTCGGATTTAGTACAGATCAAATCCTATTACCAACAAACTGCATCAAATTGCCTCCAAAAGTCTGTAGAGCCAGATGTTTCCCAAGCCCTACTTCCTTCAAGCAAACGCCCAATGTAAGCAATGTGAAGGACTACTAAAGCATAGGAACATCCCTCGAGATTTATTAGGATGTGGTTTGACCCATTTTCTTTTAGTAACAGGTTCAGGCATCTTAAAATCAGAAAGAACTCTTGCAGGATTCATGAGTGTGAGCTGGCTGAGAAATGAGTCTCATTTAAATTGTAGAAAATGCATCTTTATGCTGTTATCAGCCCCCCCCCCCCTTCCAGGCCCTGGGGGTATCCACTAGATTCTCTGGTCGGTAGTTGGTGAGCTCAGGGCGCAAAAGCTTGTCTGGCAGCTGGGAGCCCCACTCAAACCCAGAACCTTCCCCAGGACGAGAGTAAACTCAAAATAAAGGGAAGGGCTTCAGACCACGTGGACTAGGGTGGTGGTGGAGGCGACGGCGTTGTGCAGCACTGAGACATTCCCCCAAGGTGAGCCTCTGCTTTTCTCTTCCTGGATACACACATTCCATAGTTCTTCCCTGCTTATTTCTGCATTAAGGGAAGGCATTAGGGTCAGACAAGCACACAAAAGCCATCCAGGAACGGGACTGCGCCTGCAGACGGTAGCAGCTCTCCCAGTGCAGACGCTCCAGAAGGCCGCCCCAGGCCCGCCCTCCTCCGCTGTCTCCTCTCCCCATTCCCAGTTCTCACGTCAGGCGGTATCTTTCCTTCCCCACTAAAGGTCAAAACATCCTACACACTCAGCTGTGCCCCGCAGACCTCACTTCCTTCCCTTTGGCCAGGGCACACATGGCTAAGGGATCGGGATGCACTTGGACAGGACCTGGCTGGAAGGCCATCTGCCTTCTCACGTGGCATCCAGAAATATGGCCAGTTTAAACTTGGAGATCCCCACACTCTAAGCCAGGGGCTGTTCTTTAAAGCCATCTTTGTGTTAGTCTCTTTTCCAAATTCATCCACTGCAGCCCCTATGCCTTTTTTCCATTAAAGAATGCATCTCCTACCCTCCTCCTTAGTCCACTGCCAATTCACCTCATCCACGCTACCCGCAGTCAGGTAACTGACTGTTTTGTTTTGTCTCACAGTTAGACCCTGTATTTACTACATTATTTATGTTTGGTTTTCCTCTACTTTTGTCTTTAATGCAGCAAGCATGGGCTGGGAAACTGCTGCAGTGTGTGAGATTCTGCTGGATCCCAGGGATAGAGAGATGCCCTACAAATTGCTGCAGAGGTGGGGATAGTCCTCACCCAAGCTAGGCATGGCCCTCAGTCTTTAGGCCTCTCCTGTGTGTTTGTCTTGCCCTTCCCAGTGGATTATCAGCACCTGAAAGACAAGAATCAGGTCGGTATTTCCATTTGTACCTCTCCCTCCACCTCAGCCAACACAAGGCTCTGCCCACAGTGAACATTCAGAGTTCATGCATGGAGAGCTGAAGGTCCTGGGCTCCACCCTCAGCCTAGACACTGACCTTAATTGCAATGACCACTCAGAGTGCCGGATGTGGTCTAAGAAGCTCCTAGGGAAATTGGTCCTTAACTTCCACAGTATGTCACACAGTGGGCGTTCCAGCCAGTTGTGAGGGCCATGCAAGAAATTTATTTCTAATACCTTAAGTACATTCTTAAAGGATAAATTTTATTTTTACAATTTGGGCAGATTCAAGATAGTCCTACTGTCTTGTAACTACTTTCTTTCTCACTGGCCTTGGAATATTGTATGGTGTTGGTGTCAGCATCCTGAGGAGTGGTGGCATTCTTTCTAGCTGGCCAGAGTCAGCAGAGAGCAACCACTCATGATGGCAGTTAGTCTCCGGCAACTGTCAATTATCGTAGAGAGTAACTGTCCTTAAATTCTTTATTTTTTTTTTAAATCAAAACCTGCATTTTCCTTGGGAGTGCATCAGGCTGTGAACTCCACGTTTAGGTGTGTTTGGGAAAGAAAGGGTTGAGAATCGTTCCTTTAAGATGACCAGGGGAGAACAATTGTAGTGCCTCGCTGTAAATTCCCAAATTCCTTCTTCAAGGAGGTGGAAATCTGGCAGGTCTTTGCAGAACTCGCCCGAGGGATTTTTTTGCCTACCCCAAATGTGACAGAGGCTCTATGTGCTAGCCTCAGGGGCCAGTGGAAAGCTTGCCTTTTAAAATTGTCATTTTATTGATCATGATGTATGCCAGAATTGCCTCTTCAGCTTTATGTATTTAATTGCTTGCCTTTTTCTCCCGTCTTTGCGTCTCTGGGTGATTGGATCACCAAGGGTGCAACTTCAAATAATTCTAATAAAGAAATGAGTGTGTTACGCTGTTGATGAGGTGACTCTCTTTATTAGACCAGCGCCAAAATGAAAATGACTCTTAAGGGATGCTGTGCGTGGAAGCGGAGCTCATGTCTTCACTGGCGTCGGGAGCATGAGCCGAGAGAGCTCAGGACGCACGCGCTCAGCAAAGTAAGGAAGGCCTGTGGGTTGTACGCATGCGCATGTGCACCAGTGTGCTTGCGCATGCGCGCACATCCATCCGGGAACTTCTCCCCCAGAGACAGGAGCAACAAGGCTGCCTGCCTTTATCTGGAGTAATGGGGGCCAGTTCCAGGATGGGAAGCATAATTCAAAACAAAGGTCATCTGCTTTCCGTGTTCCATACCAAGGAGCTGTGGTATTTGCAGAAAACTTTCTTCCCTCCTTTTCCTTCTGTAGTCTCTGCAGGCTGTGGAGGTGCCACATCTTTACTGTACCTTGGGCAGCGGCAAGTGGAGGAAAGTAGAGATGAGGCCCTATCCAGGGGTAACCACTCGAATGACCTCCCTCCACGTTCTGCCCACTGAACACCTCCCCTGAGCTGAGTCTCAGGAATGAGGCAGCTGCAGGTCAGCTGGTTCAGACAGAACTGAGTGAAGCTGCTTGTTGTCCAAAGGCAGGATCCCAGGTTGGAGAAAACTAAGTCAAGCATCAGGCTTCGTAACCAGAAGACACATTTCTTTTTAATTCCTACCTCATTCTGCAAGAAATATTTTTTTAAAAAGCCAATCCTGAAACATGACCAACTCTGAAAAACCATTTATAATATCCTTGCTACATAATTAAAATGAACAAACTTATACCTTTTACTTCTTTAAAATAACATTCTGCGTGTTAATTATCTCAGCAACACCCTAAGGCATATAATTTTATTTTCATTTAATAGTTAAGGAAGTCAAGACTCAGAGAAGCTAAGTGACTTTCCCAAACTCACAAAGCAGTGAGAGCAAAGCCAGGACTGGAATCTCCCTCTTCTGACTTCAAGGTCAGTTCTTTCCAAAACATTTTTTTTCTTTAATTCTTTTCTCATCCGAGGCTTATTTCTCTCTTTTAATTTTTCCATGAATCCGTGCATCACTCTAATGTTATAAAGTCACTTTTTCCCCTGTTAGACATGGCTTCAGAGACGTATTTTCTTGGATGGTTTTTTTGGAAATTATCTCATTACATTGTGGTTGCAGTACATGTGTCCACACATGGTGCCCTCTGAGTATTTTGATGGCTTGGGCTGTGAGAGCAGTTGAAGGGACCTGGAGGAGACAGGACTTCTCCTTGTGCCGTGAGGACTCCGGGTCTCTGTCCCACTGACTCAGCTTCTTAGCATGGCGCTTGCTCTGGGATTTTTCCCTGTCCAAGTAGGTACCATTAGGTATCTGGTATGCTTGGTATTCCCCATGTATGATCTTTCATCCTCACAAGAACCTCATAAGATACAGATGATGACAATGATGGTGATGATGATGATGATTTTCACGTATTAGAAAACTGCAGTTCTAAGCAGAGCTGAAATTTAACTTGACTCCCAAACTCACACTTCTTTCTTTATACTCTTTCTTCCTTTGTGTTTTTATATTATTTGGTATAAGAGAGCAAAAAGTTTCTCCATGACTAAAAATATCGGCACCACTATATCAGCACCCATGGGATTGTCCTCAGAGCCACACCATGGAGCCTGGAGCCTAAGGCTCAGAAGTGGTGAGTCAGCCTAAGGGAGATGAGAACCGAGCACCCCAAATTCTGGTTCCAACACTCCTGCTGGGCACTGGCTGCCTGCGTGACTCTGAGCAGGTGGCTTCGCCTCTCTGGACCTCTATTGCTCACCTGTGTACCTGGGAGTTAGAGGCGTCCCTCCCTGAAGTCTCGTTCTGCTCTCAGATTCCTATCCTGAGATTCCCACAGCACACCTACTGGGACATGTTCTTTTTCAGAACAGTCCTGCCACCCGGAATCTCTGGAAGCCATGAGAGTCAATTCCTCATAACAGCGACGATGAGCGCTCCCACTTCCCCAAAGCATATGGCGCCGTGGACGCCTGCCAGGGGCTCGGGGAATGGAAGTGAGGAGTGAATGAGCATCAGCAGCCAGCGTGATGGGCTTGTTTTTGTTGTTCTCGTTACCCAGCACCTACAGTGGGGACAGGAGACCGTCCCTTTACCGAGGATTCCAAGGATGTGGCCTCTGCCTTCCTGGAGTGGATTGTTTCCGTCTTGTCTTTGCCACACCGCCCCGTCTCTACCATAGCGTCCTGCCCAGTCTGCTTGGGGCATTTCTGTTTCTCAGTGTCGTTCTGTATTTAGTGTACTAATAAGAAAAAAAATTGAGGCTTTAAATAGAGAAAAAGTAAGTCCCAGTGTCTCATGTTTGCCTGTTATTGAGGGGAGGGTCAAGTGAAGATCTATTTCGTACGTGCAAGAGAAGTGTCAAGTGAAGCGGGAGGAAAGGAGGAAAGACATTTTATTTCAATTTTAATTGGCTTCTCTGTTCTTTCTCAGTTCTCAACTCTGACCCAGTTTCACCTTTTGCTATAAAGCTCCAGACCTTGATGGAATGGGGGGCGGTAACAGCAGGGGGTGAGGGAAGAAGGGAATATAGCAAATTAAACATATTTCATGAGCTATCACTTGGTATAAAATTCACCGGAATGCTAATATTCAAGACTGAAGCCAGACTTTTATTTTTTAAAATGCAGGGTTTTGTTTGTTTGTTTGTTTTTGGTGTTGTTGTGTTTGCCCTTTGCAGGGTCATGATTAAGACTTTATTTTTCTCTGTTGGTCACAAAACCCTATGCCCCTCAAAGGCACTCACAGAAATTGTTGTTTCACTGTGGACCCCAGGCTGGAGGGAGGCCAAGCACAGCCCTATCAGTGAGCTGGCGGGAGTGCAGGGATGCGGCTGGGGGTCTGCCGCCTGCATTCTCTGTCCTTTCTGCCCCAGGGAGGGCCAGGGCCCATTGCAGAGTTTGCCAAAGTTTCACAAGGACTTGGAGCAGCAGCCTGTCCTGTAGAAACCCCTTCCCAGGGCTTCCTTGAGCATCAGGGGAGGGCAATAAGGTAGGTGGACAAAAAGTTGATCTGTGATGACAGCCCCTAGAGGTGTGAAATTATTAACTAAATTTATTAACAATGCAAGTTGCAGAAAGTCTTGCTGGTTACCAACAAGGACCAGCTAGGTTTCTTGTGGGAATGCCTTGGACCTGCTATAGGGAGCTGGCATTGGGAGAAAGGAGCAGACACCCGGCTCAGGGGCTGATGCCAGTCATGTGGGACTCCAACGCCTTCTCTTGCAGTGGCTATGTTGAATGTGGGGTGTTGATGCAAATCATGTAACAAAAAGCTGCTATATGGTGGTGAGGGAGGAGTGCAAGTACCATATCTCCACTCTGTAACAGTGACTGACCACGGAGTGTGCACCAGCCCACAGACCAGCAGGACAGACAGTGTGACACCCAAGTAGGGACCCTCGGAGCACTATGCCTGTGTGTCCATAAGCCCCCAAATCACCGAAGTGGAAAATAAAAAAGATCAAAGCAACTGACCACATTGGCCTGATGGGTCAAAAATTGTTTTGCTTCCTTTTTATTTCCTTAACAGATGTTTGATCACTGAATGAATGAATCTGCTCTCTGTTCCCTTTTGGTTTGACGTGGCTGGAAATGTCTGGAGGCGAATCCTGGGGTGAGTATCTATTCTAGACAATTGTCTGTATTGGGGCAGCTGAGGAATATGGAGACAGAAAAATGAAGAAGAAGTAGATGTGACCAGAAGTGGGGCAAGGTAAGAATCCTTGCAGGCCAGTGACTAAGGGAACAGGACAAAACTGAAATAGTAGCAGAGAATTTCTAAGCTTTGTGACTTCTGGAAAGGAACGTATGCCACAGTCTCAGGTGTCTTACAAAAATATTTTGAAGTTCTTATGACTTGCATAGAATATTTAATAAATGCATACTTTTAATATTACTATGCACCATTTTAAGTTGAAATGGGTTTATGGGGGTTTAATAGGATAGTCACTTTGAGTGGGTGGGGTAGAGGAGTGTGCTAAAGATAACGATTTATCTGAGCTCTGAGAAAGACCCCTGGGAAAGGTACTTTACTGTGTAGGATTAATCATCCTCTAAAATCTCAAGTTCATTTACATATATTTCTGAGAGACACTGAACCACATTCTCTCCTCACAAGCTCCATTTGTTCAGTTTGCTGACACCAGAGTCTACGAGGCTATTGTCATGATGGTACTTTTAAAGCCCATTCTGGTTGGGTGGAACATCCTTTGATATTTTCTTATACCTACTTTTCGCAGAATGTGTACAATGAAGAAAATTCATTTCCTTCGTGTCGAGAAAAGTTAATGATCATTTTCCATTATATTAAAATATTACCCATTGTTATGACTTCGGTTTAATGTTCCTGCAGAAATCTCCACGTTTTGCAGAGTTCAGCAATGCCAAGGCCGAGGCACCCGCGTGTTATTTCAGAGTTTCTCTTTACAAATGGGTTGTTTCAGATGAGTTATGACAAAAAAAAAAAAGGCAAATCACACCATTTCAGAGGAATTAGTAGGTAATTATATATTTTTAAAAATCCCTTTTAGCATGAAAATCCAAATTTTTAACAATGTTGTCTCCAGAATATAATTATAAATGCCACATTGAATCTCTGAACCAGAAATAAGAGACTTCCTTTAAGATATAATAAATACTTTAAGTCTCGGGACAATGTTTATCTTTCAGGAAAGATGAAAAGTAGAATTACAGGCTATTACTATATTGTAATTCCTTGAGTAGCTTCATTTGTTGCATTTTGTTTTAATTTCCATCCTCCTCCGAAGGTTCGGCGTTGTGTCCAAAGAGGGACGAGGCATGCTCGGGACTTAGAGTGAAAAAGCAGAGCGGGCTCAGAAGGTTCCCAGTCTCCACAAGTCAGGAGATGTTGTTTCTCCCAGTATTTTGGCAGACGTAAGACCACCAGAACCAGAATTTTAGCAACGTGAAGGAGACTGTAGCAGGAATAAAGGCAAAGGAAAAAGAAGGTGGAATTTTAAGGTAGAGTGAGATACTTTGGGGGAGAAGGGAGGATAGCCTGGAATTCATTCAAACAGCTCAAAGGAGGCAAATCCATTACCAATTCTGTTCCCATCTGTACTGGTTCACTAGGGCGGCCTTAGCAAAACCCCACAGACTGGGGCTCAGATAACAGAAATGTTTCCTCACAGTTCTGGAGGCTGGACGTGCAAGGTGAAGGCACTAGCAGGGCTGGTCTCCTCCATGGTCTCTCCTGTGGGTTGCAGAGGGCTGCCCTCTTGTCTCCTCTCCTCATAGTCATCCCTCCATGTGCCTGTGCCCTGGCATCTCTCCTTCTTAAAAGGACACCCGTCATATTAGATTAGGGCCCAACCTAATGGCCTCAGTTTACCTTAATCACCCTTTTGAGGACCTGATATCCAAATACAATCAAGTAGAGTCGCTTGAATTAGTGCCCACCCATTAGACCTCACTGGACCTTAATCACCTCTTTAAAGACACTGTCTGCAAATACAGTCACATTCTGAGGTCCTGGGGGTTGGGGCTGCAACACGTGAATTTTGGAAGGACATAATCCAGCCCGCCACACCTTCCAAACATTATTTTTTAAAATGTGAGAACCGGGTGATATATCTGTGGTGGACAGATGTCAACTGTCTCCAAAGCCTTAAATATAAGGGGGTGAAAGTTAGCTCCTTTGGAATATTTGTGGCACTGAAAATTGTAAGGGTCCAATTTCATTTTGATTGAGCCATTTTTTAAAATTTTGTAATGAAAATTTCAGATATGCACAAAGTAGAGAGGATAGTACAATAAGTTTCCCATGTTCATCCACCAGATTCAACAGTTGTCATGATTTTGATCCTCCTGCTTAATGCATCATCCTCTCCTTTCTTCTCCTTTTTTCTTTTTCTCTTTGTGAAGTGTTTTAAAGTAATTCTTGAGTATTGGGTCATTTTACCCTGCATCTCTTAAATGTAGGTATTTAAGTAGGCATGTCTTATGATGCCATTGTCATGCCTCACCACTGACAGTCATTTCTTGCTCTCACTTTACTCCCAATTCAAATTTGTCTATTTTGTCTCATCTCATCTCATCTCTCTCTATATATATATTTTTAAAAAAATAATTATGTGAAACGAGATCCAAACAAGGTTATTATTACATTTTCATTTGGTTGCTCATAGACCACTTATTTTGGAAAACAGCATTTCTTTCCTGAGACTGCATCATTCAGGACATCCTATGAGGTTATTTAATTTTACTTGGAAATGGTCCTAAATACCAGGAATAAGCTCTCCCTCTGGGCCTGGGTAGAATTGCTTATCCTGTAATGCCTTGATGGATGCTGTGTATTTATGTGGAGAGTGGTCAGCCTTACTAAATAAAAAAATATGCTTTCTTTTTGTTTAAATAATACCTGAGTTTCTTTGAGTAGTCATTATATTAGACTCTCTAAAATGTCATTTTATTTTAGAAAGCATTTCTCATACAAAACACAAAAGTAACAGGCGTCTTTAGATATTCCAGTTGCTTTAAGGTCACCCACACATAACCTGGATTTCACCACCTTTGGGATAACAAGATAAACTGGGTTCAAAGCCGATTCCACCACCCATGAAAATCCAAAGTTCTCGCTGCGGTTCCTGCAACTGTCCAGGGCTCACCTCCTTATGGGCTGCTCCCCTCTGGTGCTGCAGTCCTGGGTGCTGTTTCTGCTTCACCCACATCCACTAGACCCAAAACTCAGCTCCTTCCAGGGTTTCCACAAGCCTCCACTCATACCCAGCATTTTGTGAGCTTTGGGAGACAGAGCCACGGAGAGGGGCTCACCTCACACGGGCACAGCCTTTCCCCCCTACTGGTCTCCCTCTCACCCTCACCCACCCACTTCCCCTCACTCTCTTTTCTTTTCTGGCTCTTCCTCTTATGAGAGTGACAACTTCTTCCCCTTAGTTCATGCAGAGCAGTTTAATAATAACTTTTCTAGCTTGAATGTACTCTTGGGTCCTACCCTCCACCCAAAATGACTTGCTAAAGTATGTCTTCACTGGAAAATATTCAGGGCTCTCTTTAAGAGGAATTGTGATGAATGCTATTTTCATTATAAGTATGTAACAGTCAGCCCCGATTTCTGACCCAGTCCCCCTGTTGATCCTGCACATTCATAATAGTGAGCTGGGGACATCTTCCTGAATTCCTGCATCTCACAGGAACACTGCTTGCCTGGTGCAGCCACAGCTATTCAGAAAAGAGCAGCAGGGTTATGCAAAGTGATGCCACCCACACGTAAAGGCTTTTTTTATTTCATTGAAATACAACACTCCCCGGGTGCAAAAGCTTAGCACTTTTCCCATACACCACTCTCATTATCCACAAGGTAAACCTATGGCTGAAGTCAGATTATTTAAACCCACCTCTTTCTGATGCCCAAGTTTTCTCAACTCACAGTATTTCTGCAGCCAAGGAATTCTCACTTGCCACAGAGAAAAAAAAAATTCTCTGAATATTTGTGTCTCATCCAATTCAGCAAATCACAAAGGATAAATGGGCACACTCTCTTTGAACTTGGCTTCAGGAGTATGTCCATCAATCCAAGCAATCCCAGCTGCCAGAGACCGTAGAATCCATCAACCTGGGACCCGATTCCAGCCTGGCATCTGGAGTCTGCTTACAATTCTTTTTTTTCCCCCGCGTGCGAAGGGATGGTCGAGGCTCTTTTTGTTTTCCTTCCTTAATGTCCTTCTGTCACTTTCCTTAGCCCCCAATCCTTTTGAACTTGCACACCCTTCCCTAGGACTCAAATACCAGATGGCATCCCATTATTAGAAGAAAGCTCTCCAAACGAGTGAGGTATTGACTCTGAGTGTGAGTGCACTCGAGCTATGCAACATTTTCAACTCCTCCAAGCTGCCTAAAGTGCAGAAATATACCTCGTGGATCAGATACATGCACACAATGATTCCTGAGAGATGCCAACATTCTCATCAGAAGCCACAGGGGCACAAGCTCCTGATGCTCAGTCCTTGGAATAAAAGAACCGTAACATCTTAATTTTTCCCTTTCTGTGCTACTGACTCAGCCATTTTTGTTACATTTCAGAACTTCTTGTCAAGAAAATACATCTCCTCTTTGACCAAGCATTCCCCTGGGTCCATTTGCAAAAGGATATTCTGATGGGTACAATATTTGAATACCACCACATTTCCATTATACCTGCCTCATTATCTTGCAGGAACCTGTCTGTCCTTTGTTTGGAAATGTGTTTATTGTGAAGCCTGGTAAATCTCAGGTGAAAATAGTAGATTTATGAGCTGTCCTCCAGTGCCTGTCTGCTTCCTCCTAAGGCCACAACCCCAGAAGATTAGTCACTGAAACGTGTTTTGGTGTCAACTCTGAAACTCTGCTTTTTAAGAACGTTTCATAATGAAACCTTGGGAATAGCACGGGGAGGTTTCGCTCCTGACATACCCCAGAAGGTCACATGCTCCAATTCAGCTTAAAGGGACACTAATCATATTCAGCGTGTGACTAGAGAGGCTTACAGTTGGAGATGACACCATCATTTGCATAGGATGTAAAAATGAAGGACCATTAATTTTATAGCATTAATTGAAGAGCAGAAGTGTTAGACCTCTATAATTATCTTCAGTGAATACATTTCAAAGACGTCTTCACAAATGAGGCTCGTGTGTGAATGTGCAGGGTATCCATACAAAGAGCAAAGTGAAGGCTCCACTTTGTCCCCCTTCAAGATGCACAGATTAGCGAATCATTAAGTTAAAAGCTTAACTCTAATCTGAATTGCTTCCTCTGTGTGAAAACAAGCTGTGTGTGGATTCTGGGCTCCCGGGAAGATGTTCTGCCCACAAGGAGGACGCCCAGACTGCAGACCACATTTCACCCCTGCAGCTCTGGAGATGGGCAAGGTCCCCATATGTCCTCCCACCACCCATGCTCTTGTCGCTAGGATCCCCACCAGGACCTGGCATCCCTACTGGTCCTCTTTTTATCCTTCGAGAATATCCTTCCTATAGTCCCATATATTGTTCCCTTAGGTCAAACTCTCAGCTGTAGAACCAAATAGGTAATCACGCTGCAATGTTACTCATCTTAGTGTTTTGTAGCCCAAGGTTAGCATAGAAGGTAGCATTTCTGGAGATTAAAACTGAAAATCATAGAAATTGTTGCAGTGATTTACTAGTTTTGTAGCTAAAAACAAAACAAAGTGAAATAAAGGGTATGAATGTGGGGTAGGTTTTTGTTTTTTGTGTTTTTTTGGATGAGGAAGAAACAACTGGAAGAAGTAGCCCGCTCCTTGAACCTGGATAACACGACGCCAGCGTCAGAAGCAGCAGTCACAGCCATGATGGCCCATCTTCATTTCTGCCTCAGTGATGAAGGGTGGATGGAATAGGGCACTGAGAACAGAGGGACAGGGTGAAAAGTTGGTGCAGCCCCAGGTTTAAGAGCTACTTGGGAGTTTTGATAATTATCCTGACATGCAAGACTCATCACTTTAAAAAATATGAGCCTCCTCTGAACCTTAGAGTCACAGAATCTCCCTGGTGTATAATTTAGGGTTCCTAGGGGGAAGGTTGGGAGCCACCAGTGTAAATCAAGTAAGGCATTAGCTAATGAGGCAACACGATGCACACACTCAGTCTAAATGCCCCTGTCTCCAGGGGCCCTGCAGGAGCAACAATGCCAGTGGGAATTTCAGGTACCACCATACACAGATGGAGGGCAGACTTGGGGTCATAGAGGCCTTTTAAGAAATCTTCTGCTAGGGAACATCATCTAACTTTTTGCAAGGCTTCTTTAGGTCTAAGGAGCTTACCCTGGATGATGAAGTCTTCCTCTAAATTCCTATATACCTCACAGCTCAATTTGTTCTTCATTTCATGCTTCATTTATTTAGTTTGGTACTAGACTTTTTTCTTTCTACTACTTTCTTGAGATAGATTTCATATGCAATAAACTTTACATATTTAAAGCGTACGATCTGATGTGTTTGGACATATATATGTACGCACACACACACACACACATTTGTGAAACCACTATACCAAGCATTTCTATCACCTCCCAAAATTTTCTTGAGTCCCTTTGTAATTCTTCCCTCCCTCACCCTTGTCCCCTGCAATGCTGATCTGTTTTCTGTCACTGTGGGTCAGTGTGCATTTCCTGGAATTTTTGTGTAAATGGAAACATTTAATAGGTACCCCTCTTTGTTAGCCTTCTTTCCTTCAGCTGCCCTGTATTCCTTGGCACTCTGCTAGGGATATTTCCCCTCCAACGCTAGAATGGCCTCATGTGCCGAAATGATCTGTGATGTGACAAGATATGTATGTTGCAATAAAGCAAACTTCGGGTTTTATATATATAACTTTTTTCTGAGACATTCAGGGAACTGTGTAATAGGAGGCCCCACTTATTGGTTAGAAAAGGAATACGATTTTATTTTTTGGAAGACGCACTAATTCTTGTAGTTTTTTTCTCATTCTGTGATTGAAATTCCAATACCTTAAGGGAGCTTTCTTCAAAACAGTCCAGGTACCCTGGTGTGGAACATCCTGATTTCATCTTATTACTTCAGTGAAGAGGCACATTGGCTCTTTGTGTGGAATGTAAACTGAGGTGATACACCTGTGAGTGAGAATGATTTACTTCGTGCTTGTTTTTCTAACAGCCCATTGAAGGAACAGGAAATACCAAGTGGAAGGTATCCGACTAGGTGACGTCTAGGGCCCTCCATCGTCTGTGACTCCATCTCAGAGGCCGAACACCTCACCCAAAGGTCACTACGGGAAGCCACACTACGCTCAAGTCTGCTTAGGTGTTGCAGGTAAGATTCCTTCAGTTGTAAGTGTCAGAAACTTAACAAAAAGTAACAGAAGTCAAAACCAAAAACAAATAAACCTGAGAAATTTGGTGGCTCACACAGTTGAAATTCCTAGGGTGGGCTGGATTGAATCCAGGGGCTTAAACACATCAGCACTCACACTCCCTGTGTCTCTCAGCTCCGACTTTCCCTATGTTGATTTTATCCCAAGGCAGTTCTCTTTGCGTGGCGACCCCCAGCATTTCCAGGCAAACATTCTAGGAGTTTCTCAATTCAGTATCCCAACCAAAGACTGAGTTTTAGTGCACCGACTTGGGCTGAGTGACCATTCCCAAAGCAGGCGAGGGAATACGCCAGTGAGTCAGTGCTGTGCTGGGCACTCACCCATGGTGGGGCTGGGAGGGAAGATGTTCCCACCAAGCACGTGACCAACATGAGGAGAATTCCTGGTGAAGTAGAAATACTGTTACCAAAAGAAACAGGGATAGATGCTGAGCACATGACAAAAGGTACCCACTAGAGTTGTTTTCTTACTGCATTGTATAAAATTCACATGGCTCCTTTCTCAAAATGTGGGGTGTCCTTGAGCACACCATTGTCTCTATCTGCTCTTTCATTCTTCTACTAAGTATGGACCTGTGCACAACATCAAAAAACACATTGGCCAGGTGCAGTGGCTCACATCTGAAATTCCAGCACTCTGGGAGGCCGAGGAGGGAGGGTCTCTTGAGGCCAGAAGTTCAAGACCAGCCTGGCCAACATAGCAAGACTTCGTCTTTATGAAAAACAAAGAAACTTAGCTGGGCATGGTGGCATACACCTGTGATCATAGCTACTTGGGAGGCTGAGGCAGGAGGATCACCTGAGCCCAGGAGTTTGAGGCTGCAGTGAGCTATGATCACACCCACCGCACTGCAGCCTGCATAATGGAGTAAGACTCTGTCTCAACAACAACAACAACAAAAAAACAATTATAAGCAAGTTTATTTTATACTTCCAAGATTGGGAAACTGATATCTTACTCAAGGATGTCAAAGATCCTAGTAAAAGTGAGATAACTTTAGGAATCACAGTAGGAATTTGGGTATCAGTGTCTGGGGCACTTGATTTCCTCAGGACTCACTTGCTTCCCATGTGCAATGGGAATAAATAATTCTTTCCTTTCCATGCATGGGGGTCAGTTTCCATCAGATTCTCTCTGGAAGTCTCACCTTTCTCAGATTCTGTTCATGATTTCATATGTACTGGCAAGTTGATATAACAGATTACTTGAAAGTAAACAATCTCACTGTGATTAAAAGTGAGAGATAACCACATGTGGAGTGGACATTATTCATTCTTTGAACATCTTCATATATCATTGCACTTTCCCACCTGTGACCCCTGCCATTCCTTAAATTGAAGCTGGAAATTTTGTTCCTCAACTTTTCTTACAAGCTAGGGCACAGTGATAGGACCAGGACCTAAAAATCAAACATACCTTTGTGAGATTTAAGTTTAGAAGAGAGTGACATGAAGAATTGTTGAACAACCTCTACACTGGGGAGAGTGGTGGAGAGGTGGTCATCTTTCAGAAGAAGGTGGCAAAGGTTTTAGCAGAGATGTCCTATGCCCAGTGGCAGCCAGGTGAGCTACAGTCCTGCACTAGCAACTGGAACAGGATGGTCTGGAGCAGGCTTGTGGTGTCATTTCAAAGTTGTTTATGGTTCCATACCCTCTATATCTAATCTTCTGGCTCTCTGTGAACTGCTAAATGTGGTTAATGTATTATACACCTGCACATCTTAGCTAAGATAGGCTCTGTCGTTTACAACTAAGAACCCCTTGACCAATGCAAAATTGATCTCAGGAGTGGTTTCAGGCCACAAACACATAAAGAAATGGGCATTTAGTATTGGTTTTCTAGTCTTTTGGGTAAGAAGGCAGTGAAAAACCCAGGTGGTATTAGAGAATGGATATAATAGAGTATTTAAATATTCTCCTGTGGTTACTTGTGAAAGCAAGCCTTGGGGAATACAGTGGCACAAGGAATTTAAACAATATGAATGACATGAATAATTCAAGGGTTACTTCTAACTGTCCTGGAGAGCTTGGATTTTCTGCTCAGGGCATGGTCAGATGACACAGAGGACCCTCCTATGCTAGACTATCCCTTTATATAGCCAAAGCCTAAGTTTGATCCTGATGGAGTTGCCAAATTACAGTGTCAGTGGAAATCATAGCCTTATCAAGTCTCTTATGTCAGAGTTAGCACCGTAATAGAGAAGAAAGAGACCTTGAGAATTTAAATTGAGGGCATATAAGAAGCTTCCAGTGATTCAGAGCACCCTGGATTCTCATTGGTTCTAGCACCTAGTCCATCACCAAGAAGCAGCTGAGCTTGCAGAATGATGAAAATACCCATGGAAGTCTCAGTTGTGGTGCCTGCTGGGAGACACCACCTCACAAGTTTGTGGTGCTGTGTGTAGGATGTGGTACATTCTCTGAACCATGATAAACTTATGGTACCATTTGCCTTTCTATAATCAAAGTGCATAAGATTCAGAATCAAAGGGTGCAAACAGGAGGGACACGTCTCAATATTACATCTAACGGCCGTCTTGCAAAAGTTGCTTTCAAGCCCTGCAATTCTGGGCTCAGGCCAACTTAAGGATCTTAGTGCCCAAGGGGAGAACAGTTCCACCAAGAACGTGAAATGTTTCCACTGAATTAGAAAACAGTTCTCTTCCTTGTGAAGAGGAGGCTATTTTGGCCTCTTCATGCCACTAGATTATCAAGCACTAAAGGGGTTTTCGGCATTGACTGGGGCAGTTGATTCTGGTTAACAAGGCAAAACGGTGTAGTTTATGCCATTTTGTACAGGGAATATTTCTAGAACCCAGGAGACCCTTCTGAGTACCTGCGTGTAGTGCCATGCCCAGTGGCGAGACTCAATGGAAGACTCCAGCAACCACACACAAGAAGGACCGTGAAAAGGGATTTTCCTCCACAGATGAGGGTTGTGAGAGTTGCCTTATCAGGTAAAGAGCCCTAACCTTTACCCTAACCCGACTGGTGGGCTCTGAAGGCAAAAGGAGTATGGCATGAGTGTGGAGGAAAGATGTCATAAAAACCATCCAAATACACACGAGCACTTGCAGAAATGACAGCACAGACACCGACTTTGCTTCATCGTCATGTATATATACTAATTATCCTTTTATTCTCCCTCTCTCTTTTTCTGCTTCCCTCCCATTTTATGGGGTGGTAATTAACTACATTTTAGTGTCTGGATTACAGAACACGGAGATGGGATTGTGACTGAACTGCAGCAGGTGAACATCCCCTGGGGACCTGACCCCGGAGCTCAGTGTGGAAACTGCCCTCTTTCAAGGACAGAGTGTCCTTGAAAGTCATACAGGAATCTTTCAGTTGTACAGGAATAATTGCATGATGTTTGGTGGAAGCCCTTTTTGTCCTTGTTTGTGATTGTAGCTGTCGTTTAGAATTTTAGTGTGGAAGAAGGTTTCTAAGGCCATTGGACAGCCAAAAGGTAGATGTAGTGGGCATATTTTATCTTGTGGGTCACCATTTACCTTTTGAACATCCCTTCAATGTTTAAGGCAGAGGTTAGACACCTGCTTTCCCAGCTTCCTGCATAGCAAGAGACGAGCCATGTGACTAGATATGCCCCATGAGGTTTCATTTTGAAAGAGAATGTCATGAAGAAGGTGATGCCATGAAGAGTACACTCTGTCAAGGGGGCAGAGACCCACCCAGCTCTCAGAGGCAGCAGGGCCAGAGGTCCTGGCTATGGTCTCTCAGGCCATGTTGGTGGAGGATCTATGACATCTGCCCCGTGCAGTGGTCTGCAGTGTAGCCCGGGGACTGCTCCTGTCTGCAAACCCTCCTGGCTTGATCCTTGAGCCTCCTAGAAATTCCTTGAGCTTCCACAGATTCTTTCCCCAAAACTCCCTTTCCTGCTTAACTGGCTAGGTTTGTTGTTTGCAACTAGGGACCCTCACTGGTATCTAGAGAAGCTTTCTCTGCCAGTCCTAAAACGCACAAAAAAGGGAATCTTCTTTATCTGCAGATGTTGGCATATCCCAGTTGTCCCTGGCTCAAAACCCTGAATGCACATCAGGTAAAGGAAAGTGGTTCAACTTAAACAATCCTTTACACAAAGGGACGTTAGCGCAGCTGCGGTTTGCCTAGAAAACGTAAGAGTGGCCCATAAAGGGAAAGCCCATCTGTTTGGGGACACTAAATCTGCTCTAGTCCACAGGATATCACACACCCAAAGCAGGGACTCTAACTGCGAAGCCTAATTCTATAGACAAATTGTATTTGCCCCTTATGGCAGCCTAGTGGGATGCATCGTTGTGTGCAGGGGACTGTTGATTGGATTAGTTGGTGGCTGTTACACGTTAACAGGTTTGCAATGTAGTTTTACTAAATCTAAGTTTCATATTGGCATTGAAGGAAAATTCTCAACAGCTTATCCCAAAAGAACACAGAATGTATTTTCATTGCAAAACTCAAGGAAAGTCCTTTCAAGGGACCTCAAGATTTGTAGCCAAGAAGAATATGTCATAAACCAGAATGCTAAGCATGTCTAGTTAAGTTGTCACCTATCAGGCATTCGTGACAATTGTGATATGCACGTTAAAAATAAGGAATGTATAGGTGTTAGTTAAGTTGTCCAGTCCTCAAAACTCATGTCTTCCTGGTTTACTGAACTAAAAATGTTGAGAATTACCAAAAGAATAGTTTGCTCCCTGACTATTCTCGTGCACAAACTATCTTCCCTTTACAGCCCATTTTCATACAAGTGCCCGACATCCCCCTGCTTTGCTGATACCATATGGTGTTGATGTAGGTTTATTTAGGCTCTGTGTTATCTGGGGAACTGAAAATTGACTGGGGAGTTAGGCAGGCTCTTATCTCCTGCTGGCTTCTTTGCTTGCTTATACTGCACTTTAAATAAATCACTCAACCTCTGAGCCTCTGTTTTCCCATTTGGAGAATGGGATCAGTGATGTCTACTTTGCAAGCTCTTGGGAAGCTGAGAATGACAAGGTTCTGTTGTTTCCAGTGACGTGAGGAGCTACTGAATGCAAATACAGTTTGTGAGAAGGTAGCAACTGCCTGCAAAAGAAAGATACCAGCTATCCCTAGACTCATTATTCAGGGAGCTGAAAAGCAGGTGCCTCCCTTTTTTACATTTCCCCCCAGAGAATTTCCTGTTATTTCCCTGGTATTAATTGATGGTGGGCACCCACATTCTGGATTCTCAAAGGGAAAAAGTACTTCTACTCTTGCCATTGCTTATTTTCTTTTTTATTTGTTTTGTTTGTTTGCTCGGGAGAGGAAAGAAGGGAACGTGGCTTTTGAGGTTAATTGTGTGGATTCCTGAGTGCACGCGTGGGATGGTCAAGCTAAGCTCTGCTTGCTTTTCTTTCTGCAGAGCTTTCCTTGCAGGAGAGGTTTTCAGCAAGAGGTGGAGAACGCACATCCTAGTCAGCTCTCCATCCATGATGCCATCCATAGTAGTTAAGGTGACACTAAATTTCTGTAACAAAGAGACCCAAACTTACCGTGACCCACTGAGAAAGCTCTTTATCTCTCAGGTAACAGTCCTAATGGGAGCCAGGGTGGCAGCCAGCTCTTCTCCAGTCATTTCAAGATCTGGATTTCTTCCACCTTTATGTTCTGTCATCCCACGTGCAATTTACTCAATGCACACAGTGAAATACCACTTGCGTTGGTGTGAGCTATGGGACACTTCACTAGGTTGGCGTTTTTGGCTGGAGCCTCCCACTGAAGAACACCTGGTGCATAACAACCATCCCGCACTCCTGTAAACAGAGCTCGGCCACTTTTTGTCAGTTTTCCAACTCACATTGACGGCAACAGCGAGGCCATACTGCAAAAATACTCAACTCTGACAGGTCTACACTAATGGGAATGTTTCATCACTTCTTGAGATTCCTGTCTGTTTTGATGGGAGTAGAAACAGCTCCCAAGTTGTTGCAGTGATTTTGGCTTCCCTTATGGAGTGGGGCCTTGGGCAGCTGTCCCTGAAGACCCATCTCTGTCCACTGTTGATTGCTATCAACCCAGCTCCTCCGAGGCCTGACGATGAGTGCAGGCTGCCTGCCATGAGGGGCCCTGGGCTGGGGGCACTCAGACCAGTGTAGGCTGAGCACAGCTCATGGTGACAAGGGCCCTCAAGAGGGGGCATGCAGACAGGCAGAAGCACAGAGGAGGGGTAAAGTTGCCCAGGGAGAGGGGAGGTCCCGTCTGACTACAAGGTAGCCAGATAAAGAAAGACTGGGGCTAGAGGGAAGAGTGTCAGACAGAGAGAGAGAGAGAAACATTCACAGAGCAGGGAGGGAAAGTACAGCAGATCCCAAAAGTAACTCTTGGAATGACGGCAGTGAAAACGACCGTGGGAGCAGGTGATGAGAACTGAGCTAGAGAAACAAGCAAGGACCAGTCCCTAATGAGCCCTGATTTGCCATCTAAGGGGATTGGATCTCATCCCGACGGCAGTGGGAAACCGCCAGCAACATCTTTAAAGGGTTTATTATGAACTGACTGGTGTGGTGGAAAGATCACTCTCAGCCACGAGGAAGGGATGTTCCTAAATGTGTGGTCTCAGGTGCGCCAGCATCAGATCCACCTGGGGCGCCAATTAACATTGTGGAGTCTTGGTCCCTGTGTCACCTCTGCTGAATCAGAATCCTGAGAGGTGGACCCCACGAGCCTGTACTCATGCATAAGATGTCCTCAAAGCGATTCTGATGCCTACTAGATACCTGAATGTCAGTGGTGGCAATTATTTTAGGGCTGAGAGCCAAATAGGGGGACAGCCAGTCCTAGGGACACAGAAGGAGCCTAATGTGGTGGCAGATGCTGACGGGGAGCGTGGAGAAGCTGTAGTCCTTGGCATGGGAATTAGGGATTCTGACTCTTTGAGAAAACTTTGATCCTGAGAAACCACTGCTGTGAGGCTTTCCCCACAGAGGCAAACGCAGCAAAGTCTGGCAGAAGAAGATAAGGAATAGCTGTCCCTCTGCAGAATGGGCCACAGACACCCAAGGAGCCGGTTCACAGATGTGGATGTGACGGGACACAGGCTGTAAAAATAGATGACACTCCAGGCCAGGACAGGTTGCATCTGGGAGCATTGATTGGTGGGTTCCAGCAATGGGCTGCACCTTCTGGCATGTTTTATTTGTTTGTCTTTTAACTAAGTCAACTCAATATTCATCCTATGGCTTAGAACGTTGACACTGACAAGGACAGAGACGTTTTGACTGGTGCGTCTGCAGTCTGCCTGCACCAAAGAAAGGTCAAAACACTCCTCTCGGCTGGCCGGGCTTGGAATCAGTAAGCAGCGTCTGTAGGATTTGAAGGCATCACACATTCAGACCGCTGAAGCCTGAACGAGAGGAGTCACAGGAGCCTTTGTGATTCTCTCCTGCAGCTGAAATCACCATCACCTGCATTTCTGCAGCAACCATTGTTTTCGTTTTTCTGTATTTCCCCCGTGGGTAGGTTATTTTAGCATACATGTTGTAATTTTCCTTGGCTGGGAACCCAAAGCCAGTGGGGGGCAGACCCAGGAATAGAACCTTACCTTCTCACCCCCAGCCTACCACTCCAAAACTGCCCAGCTGCCTCGTACGGCGAGTGACCTTTTCCTGAAAAAGACCAGAGACAGCAGGGAGGCTTTCCAGAATATCGTTCTGCCCTGTAGGCAATATTCACCACACTCAGAACCTGGTTTGAACTAAGAAAATTCTACTGGGTTCTGCATTAGTCAGGGCAATGGTAGTTGTTATAAATAAATAAACCCTCAAATTGCAGTGACTTGACACAATGGAAGTTTCTTTCTTCCCCATATAACAGTTGAGTGCAGGTGCTCTTGGTTGGCAGTTGATGGGGTGGGGGAGGGGCTCTGCTTCACGCAGCCATTTCAGGATCCAGGATGACAGAGCCTTGGCTGCCTTCAGCCCTTGGCTCCCAAGGTCACTCTGGGCAGTCCCCAGTCCACAGAAGGGGAAACGTGGAGGATGGAGCATGGAAGTGTTGAAGTCCAGGCCTAGAAGTGGTACACATCCCTTCTAGAATACCCCACTGTAAGGAAAACAGTTCCACGGCCACACCAAAATATAATAAAAGGGACATTGGAAAATATAGGTGAAACAAGTTATGGTGAGCAAAGAAGAAATTCCTAGCAATCTGTGGACCAAGACGGGGAGCTTCCTGGAATAGGTGTGGCAAAAGCTATTGGGAATGCTGGCAAGGGTCTCTTTTCATCTCCTTACCTGACATTCCTAATTTATTTGTGCACTCTCTATCCCACGAGCATCTATTAAGCTCTTACTGTGTATCAGATATTGGGCTAAGTGCTTTGAGAGGCTATGAGGCATATGAGACTTGGTCTCTACACTCAAGGAAGTCACGGAACAATGGGAGTGACAGACAAAAACAACCCCAAACAATGAAGTACGTGCTGTGATAGAGAAGTGTATAAAGAATTACACAAGCGTACAGCAAGAAGGTTCATCTAGGTGAGACTTCAAAGATAATTAAAGAGCTTTCCGGAACAAAAAGGAAGGAAAGAGTAATTTCAGGTAGGGAATAGCACTGGCAAAAGCATAGAGGTATGAAAGAGCCGGGATTATCTAGAAAATGGAATCTGGTGTGCGTGATGGGTAAAGCATAGGGTGAGGAGAGAGACACAGGAGTGACACAGACAGAGAGATGGGTTAGTACTAGGTGAGAAAAGACCCTGTAAGCCTGCAATGTATTTTTTTGCATTTACCCTTAAGCCAATGATTCTCCCTTTCTCCAATTATACACTATTTCCCTCCTTGTTTTTCTTAGATACCTGGTTCACATTTTTGTTTCATGTATGTATCGTGCCCTGTCTCTGAGTATTCTGGAATAAGGCTGATGGTATGGCTGGATTCCAGGACTCACATTATGCCATCAGGACTCAGTTTCCCTCCATCTCCAGGTTGTGCTCTCAGCTGTGTTTGCTGAGTTAGCACCTCAGCCTTTGCATGGTGGCCCCATGGCAGCAGCTCGCCTGACCCCTGCATTCTCTGTTTCACATTCAGCAGAAAGTTCTAGCAAAGTTCTCTGTGAGTCACTGGCTTCAGGGCAGTCATATCCCCATTCCTGAATTAATATTTTATCTTTTTGTTAGCCCAGCCTCAGACTTACGCTTCACTTCTGAGCTTGGAGTAGTGGGAGGATGGGGCTCAGAAGGAAACCAAGATACAGTTGCCAGATGGTGGGTGAACAGCTGCTTAGGCAAGAAAACAGGTCCCCTGCCCAGAACTCCACTGGACGGCCTCTCCAGCCAAACTGGCCTACTGCCGGGGCCCAAAATATGCTCTAGGCTTCTCTAACCCATCTACCTTTTAATAAACCACTTCCCTTTTTGAGTTCTTCCCAGTTCTCTCACCTGGTCCAAATCCTACCCATCTTTAAAAGTTAAGGGGAAAATAATCTCAAATCCACTTTCTTAGTGAAGACTAATGGGTTCACTGCTTCGGGCAAACAATTATAACACTTCTTATTCACACAACTTTTTAGGAAACAAATGTTCTTTATCTCCTACAGCTTGCTAACTTTTAATGACTCTTAAGTTTTTCTGTCCAGTTTGACCCTAAATTGCTTTAGGGAAACCACAATAGGCATTTTTATTTTCTCTTGATACTTAATTTATATTTCACTTGATTTACATATTTATATCCCACCTTGTTCTAAAGTGAATTTGAGATAGCTTTCTAACCTGATAAAGAGCATCTACAAAAAAGATACAACTAGCATCATATTGAACGGTGAAGAGTTGAATGCTTTCCCCCAATACATAGTAAGAGTGTCTACTTACACTACTGCTATTAAAAATTGTACACAAACTCCTAGGTAGTTCAATGCATCAAGAAAAAGAAAAAAGAGGCATACAGATTAGAAAGGAAGAAATAAAACTATCTTTAGTGCAGATAACATGATTATTTATGTGGAAATTCCCAGGGAATCTAGAGGGAAACTCCTGAAACTAATAAATGGTATTGAAACTATGGGAGATAATATAAAAAAATTAAAAATATAAAAGAACCTTGAAATGTTCACAACCTTACACCTTATTCAAAAAATGACTCAAAACAGATCATAGATATAAATGTAAAATATAAAAAAGAAGTTAGAAAATATAGGATAAAACTTCCTATATTTTTCTTTGTTACAAACTTTCTTATATTATGAACTATACTTAGGCAAAAAGTTCTTAAGACATCTCACCAAAAAAATAATCAATAAAACTAAAAATTAATAAATTTCATGAAAATTAAAAACTTTTGTTCTGCAGAGCCACCATTGAGAGAATGAAAAGACAAGCTACAGATTGGATGAAAATATTTGCAAATCACAAATCTGACACTGGACTTGTATCTAGAATATACAAATAATTCTCAAAATTCAACAGTAAGAAAGCAAGCAATTAAAAAGTCAGCAAAGACTTGAGCAGACACTTCACTTTTGAGGGGAATGCGAATTATTATAAAACCATGACATACCATAGCGTGTCTATGAGAATGGCTCAAAAATAAAATACAATACCAAGTGCTCATGAGGGTAAGGAGCAACTGGGATCTCTTATACATTGCTGGTGGGAATAAAAAACATTGCAGCCACTTTGGAAAACTGTTTGGCAGTTTTTCAAATAAAGGTAAACATATATTTATTATATGTGCCAGTGATCCCACTCCAAATGCACTTCCACAAGGTGAATAAACAGAGGTGCATTCTTACAAAGAAATAAAAGAAACAGATGCATCTCAAAGACATGTCAAGTGAAAATCTCTGAAGGTTACATACTGCATGACTCCATGTATATGATATTCTTAATCAGACAAAACAGCCGTGATAGAGAACATACCAGTGGTTGCCATTGGTTTTGGTGAGGGGACTGGTGTGACAGAAAGCATAGGGGACTTTGATGGGGGTCATGGACCTGCTCCGCATCCTGATTGTGGTTGTGGTGGTTACATAAATTTACACGTGGGTTAAAATTCATGGAACTGTACACCAAAAAAAGAGACAAATTTATAATATGCTAATTTTTTCAAAAACATTTTCTTAAAAGGGTGGAATGGAAAAAATTATGCCTAGACACTTATCTATTTTTAAAGACTGAAACACCAGAGAACATGAAGTAAAAAGGAGACCTGGGAATTCTACTAGTGAAATGAATCTTGCCTGTGAGCTTTGATGTCTCCAGAGTGTGACCGGGAAGGGGCCCTGCAACCAGGACCGGGCTGTTGTCTCTGCCCGGAGCCTCCCCCAGCCAGGACCATTGCGTGCCGAAACAGCAGCTGCTGCAGCGAAGGAAGCGCATTTGTGTGCTCACAGCTCAATGTAGCTCCTAACGATTTCTTGAGTTGGAAGTCAGTGGGATAGACTGACCTTCATCCCGTGACAACACGACACATCTCGGCCATCACTGGTGAACCAGGTAACTACCCTCACCTTGCCCCAACCTTTGTACACCTGGAAATGCTTTCATAAGTGCTGCCGCTTTCAAAGGTCGAAGCACCTGTGTGAAAGCTAGGCTAGGTATTATTATCTTCATTTCATGAGTAAACAGACTGAGAGGTTAAGTGACTTGGCCAAGATCGAGCAGCAGAGGAAACTCCACAAGTGGGGACCCGGCTTCCAGCTTATACAACTCTCGCAAAGGCCAGCTCCAAAAAATTATTCGTGAAAGGATGGTGAAAGGGGCTACCGTTCTTGAAGTAATGGTGATCGATGGGGAGGTAATTCTTTAAAGAATGGTTATTTTAAGGCTCTAAGTCGGACTGACTTTTTCAAAACATCCCCTTAGCTAGGCATCGACATAGAAATCTCTGCGAGAATCATCTCAAGCTGTGAGCTCATGAAACCACTCCTCTAAAAATGCTGGTGAAATGCCTGGTGTCTCCGAAGATGGTAAAATAATGGTGAAATAACACTTAAAATAATGATTTTCTCAACACTGGTGCTAGCTACTCCTCAAAAACCCCAGGTGACTGTGCCTAGGCATAGATCTGTCTGCCAGAACCATTTCTCCTTCCAAGCTGAGTCATCAAGCCAGTCTGAATCAAACCACCAAACCAGTCTTCATCCACACATTCATTCATCCACCAAAAAAATATTTCTTGAGTGCCTACTATATGACAAGGTGTGTAGTCTACAATTGCTTAAAGTCCATCCAAAAGAAAAAAACACATGTATATATCTTCAAGACAAGGTATGAAATGGCAAAGGCCACATGTGTGGTCAGAGCAGTAAGAGCTGCCGTAGGAAAGCTAGTCTTTAAGTGATCAGGGCAGATTTCATGGAAGAACTTGGCTTTGATCTGAGTATTTAAAGTAGGAGAGAATTTTGAAAAGTTGAGATTGAGAGAGAGAGAGACAGAGTCTGTGTAGCAGCCAAGCCTCCCAAATAGCTCCCAGTGATCTTTGCTCCTTGGTACTCTTGACTTATATAGTCTCTTCCCAGATTGAATCAGGAAGATTCGATGGAGAGCACAGCATATAACAGAGGTGACAGAGTGGGACTTTTTAGGCTAGATCACAAAGGATCTATGACTTAACCTTATCTTTTGAATCATTTGTTCTGGGAGGAGTCAGCCACCGTGGCATGAAGTCACTCAAGCAGCCCTGCAGAGAGGCCAACGTGGAGAGGAGCTGAGACATCTTGCCAACAGCCAGCACCAACTTGCTATCCATGGGAGTGAGCCACGATGGGAGCAGATCCTCAAGCCCCAAATAAGTTTCCAGATGTCGGCAAACCTCAGCAGATATCTCAGTGCAACTCCATGAGAAACCTCAAGCCAAATCCACCCAGCTAAGCTGCTCCCCAAATTCCTGACCCTCAGAAACTATGAGAGATATTTAAAAAATATTGCTGTGTTAAGCCACTGAGTTTTTGGAGTGATTCTTTTTTACACACCATTTGCTAGTAATAAAATATGTGCGTCAACTTGCAGAAGAAAGCAAGCAAAAGGCATGTTTGAAAGACTGTCCTTGTAGGCCAGGAAGGTAGAAGTTCCAGCAAGCTGGGCATAGGGTAGAAAAGACCTGAACAAAGGCAATGGCAGGAAGATTGAGAAGAAGAGACGGAAGGAAAAGGTGTCATGAAGAAAGAATTCCCCAGTCACTTCAGGGGATCTACACCTGAACGATCAACAATTCTGCCAATGCTATTAGCAGAAATATCTTAGGGAACATGGAGTGAGCTGTTCTTTTAAACCTTAGTGTTCATGCTATATGACAAACATTGGCTCGTCATTCCCCGTACCCATTGGCCTTCTTCCCAAACACAGTGCTAGATCACATTTTTCAGCTTTCCTTACAATCCAGTGTGGCTGTGTGTCTGCCTTCTGGAACACAAGCAGCAGTGGCATACAGCACTTCCAGGCCTTGCCGGTGAAACTTCCTGCGTGATCCTTCATCCTCTCTCTTTACCTTGTGCTGAGTCCATGCAGAGGATGGGAAGCCCTAGAGGATGGTAGATCAATAGGGTAAAAGATCATGGGTCCCCAAATTACCACACAGAACGCCACCTGCCAAATACCTGCATTCAACAATTTTGTGAACCAGAAATAAATTTCTATTAGGTGAAAAAATAAATAAGCTATTAGGACATTATAAAGTGAGTATATGGAAAAATAGGATGGAGCAAAGAGTGAGCCCAGGACACACACACACACAAACACACTCACACCCCTTAAAGTCCTGGGTGGACTTTGTTAGAGATGCTTGTTAAAAATGAGACACGACATTATGATCTGAGCTTCCTAGTGGCCAATGCAAAAAAGGAAACATGATCAGTGACATGATTCACAGAGACCTCAAGATTTTAAAAGAGAGGAAAGAAAAAAGTTGCTCAGGAAACGTATGACTACTTCCAATACTGAAATCAATCACAAGTTCTCCCACTGAGTCTTCATAAGAAAGACATTGCATAATGTCATGAACAATGTCTTCAACAATATTTCAGCAGCCAGTAGAACAAGTTTCATCAACTCCGTTTCTTATTATGTCCTTCAGTGAAGGATAAATAAGTGATAAAAATGGCATGATAAAATCCAGTAAAAATCAATTCTATGGGGTATGAGGAAAGAACAAAATTTAGTGGTTGAGCTAATCAGTTATCTGTTGATCTGGTTGTACTGATAATATATACAAATAAATTGTGAATCTCTTGAATAAACCCCCCTCAATATCAATAGCTATTTGGTAAATATATTTGATCAATTGATTCACTAGCAGTTATGTGTATGGTTTTGAGGATGGGAAAAGGGAAGCAGGAGAAGGAGGCCCAAATACCCTAGTGTGGCTGCCCTGCGACCCTCGCATCACTTACCAAATCCATCCGGCTACTTGTGATGGCCAGGGTGTGTCAGTATCTCACGTGTTTTGCTTTATCTTCTCTCAGCGAGTTTTCCTAGGGCCATGTCATTAGAAACACTGACTGGAGAATAAGAAAGGAAGAATAATAGAGTGTATGTACAGTTGTAAAAAGCCATTATGATATGATTCAAAGCCAGTAAATACCACTCCAGCTTATCATGCAAATCACTATTAGTATTTTTATTTGAACTACAACTGTGTCTTGTTATTTGACACAGACTGCTTTTGAGAAAGACCTAACATCTGCCCACAGTTGGATTCCTTTCCAAGCATTCCTTGGAGGAAGAGGAAAAGGATAATTTAATGCTTGCAGTTAAAACCTTGAAAAGGACCCATTGTAAGGAGGAAAAGTTGAAGGGGGTGAATTAAGAAACATGCAAAACAATTTCTGCTTGTCCTTGTAAAGCAGATCCGGAGATTTGTCTTTAAAGTAGAAGCTTCAAAATTGGCTTTTTGCAAAATAGAATGGTTAGCTATACCTTACTGGGAAATCAAGACTCTTTTGCAGGACAGGGATGATTTGAGAATGGTTGGCTGGGGAAGTGAGGATGGAAGGAATGTGGCAATGTAGGACAGCTCCGAGCCCAGAGACCTGAGGGACTGATTTAGTAACTGTGGTCAGTGAACATTGTCAGTCCTTTCATTTAAAGAAAACTAGAGAAAAACTGATCTTTGGTGGTGGTAGAGGTTTCTGCAACA